TTTTTCAAACTTGCATCAATCAGGTGGAATTCCCCAAAAGACAAGTCTCTTAAGATCTTTTCATTTTTTAAAAGATTTTATTTATTTGGGATGCCTGGGTGGCTCAGTGGGTTAAGCGTCTGCCTTCGGCTCAGGTCATGATCCCAGGGTCCTGGGATCGAGTCCCAAATCAGGCTCCTTGCTCAGCGCGGAGCCTCCTTCTCCCTCTGCCTCTCCCCCCAGCTTATTTATCTTCTAACAAATAAATAAAAATAGAGACTTTATTTTTAAAAAAGATTTTATTTATTTGACAGGGAGAAAGAGAGAGACAGTGCCTGTGCACACAAGCAGGGAAAAGGGCAGAGAGGGAGGGAGAGGGAGAAACAGACTCCATGCTGAGCTCGGATCCCATGGGGCTCGACCCCCAAACCCCGAGATCTTGACCAGAGACAAAATCAAGAGTCGGCCGCTCAACTGACTGAGCCACCCAGGCACCTCAAGATCTTTTCATTTTTAACTTGATGGTAAAGACTTAAAATTTGTTCTCTTTTCCCCATTACTTACACCTACCAACTTTTGTCTGGACATCTTTATGTGCTAACAACTTTAGATTCATTAATTCATTTATTCAGTGAATTGGGAATATAAAAATAATACAGGGTTTAAATGCCCCAAATACTACCCCCACGTCTCAAAATGTCTCTCTCTGCATTCTTCTCCCTTTCTCTACTCCAGACTCAGAAGAAAAAGTCCTCTCCTCTTTCGAGGTTTTTCCTCCACCTGGGTCTTACTCCCACCTCTCCCCATGTCCTTTGAGACTGGAAACTTGTTCTGTCCTTTAGTGTACTCTCTATTTATGGTTCTGTTCCTCCATCTAGAAATATTGACCCTTGACCCTAGTTCCCTCTCCCTATCATTCTGTGTTTTCTCCTTCCACTCTCCAACATCATTAGGAAAGAAAGGTCTCCACCTCTTTATCTCCCAGCCACTCTTCAATTCGCAACCATCAAGCCTCCTCTAAAACCTCCCTAACAGTGTGATGACTACAGAGCTGGGACAAGAAGCTCTGAACTTGCTTTGAGGAGCCTGCTGACAGCTTCTAGCTTCCATACCTTTTCGTCTGCAATCCTGAAGCCATGCTCAGTAGCCACCCTCCCTATCTCACAGTCGGTGACTGAACGTGGTGGGGGTACTAGAGTTGGACAAATTCTGCTCCCTATAGGACTCCTGGAATGGGCAATCCTTGTGGGGAACTCCCCATTGGCCGGGCCAAGACTTTCCCAGACTATGGTCTGAGTCGCTTTCTACTCACACTCCTTCCTTCCCTCTCTCCTCTTACACCTGTCAGATCTGCATCGCACCATGGTCCAAACACTTTCCCTGCTAGACTACGGCTCCCTCCTCTTTTATCCTTCACAGGCATTACCCCTCTTGTATGTCCCATTCCGTCTGGGCATCTTCTTGAAGGACCTGAACTGATGCGTGGTGATCACCAACTTTCCTGATTGCCCCTGAGCTGTTTTCTGTCCTCTCGTGAAGTCTCACTGCATTAAACCCTGTGACTCAGTTTCAGATTGCTTTCCTCCCATAGCTTCCACGATACAGTATTTTCTTTTTTTTTAAAGATTCTTTTTATTCATTCGAGACACAGAGATACATATAGAGAGAGAGAGCACAAGCAGGCAGAGAGGCAGAGGGAGAACAGGCTCCCCACTGAGCCAGGAGCCAGACGTGGGGCTCGATCCCAGGACCCTGGGATCATGACCCGAGCCGAAGGCAGATGCTTAACCATCTTAGCCACGCAGGCGCCCCCCTAATACAGTATTTTCTACTTCTCCTCCTTCCTCCCCCCATCATTTTAACTCTTTCTGTGGTCTTTTCTTTCTACAACCAATCCTTAAATACTGGTTTTCCTTAAGAATCTATCTGTGGCCCTCCACTCTTTCTCTGCACAGGTTCTGTCTCAGTGATGAAACTGATTATCAGAGTTTTAACCACGATCATTGCTGATGACTCACAATCTATCTCCCATTCAGGATTCTCTCCTGAGCTCCAAAGCCAAATATCCAACTGCCGACTGGACACGTCCACTCTGATGAGTTAAGCCAGATACCCTGATTTTGGCCTTAACCCTATCTATCCCCTGTATTACAAACTTCATACCCATCACTCACAGGGAAACTTGAGACTTATTCTCGACAACTCCTCTTCCATCAGCCCCCATATCCAATTTGATTTGATGGTCTTGTCCTTGAAACAGGTCACATCTGTCACTGCCCACTGCAGTTCTGCAGTGACTGTCTCGGTTTAAGCCTTCGTCATCTTTAACCAAGATTTTAAAAAACGACCTTTTAATGGTTTTCCTTCCGCCAGCCTTTCTCCATTCCTAACCACACTGTGGCCAAAGGGATTTCCTGAAATGCAAATGGATCATATAAGAGACAGTACGATGCAGAAGTAAAGCATAAAGGCTTCAGCTTAGGATGAATCTAAGTTCAAATCCTGACTCTGCCTCTTATTGATTGCATAACTACGGACAATCACTTAATAGTTCTAAGCCCCAGTTACTTCATTTGAAAAATGAAGATTAATAATAGTATCTACCATAAAGAAACATTGTGAAGATTAAATAAGATAATAAACATAAGTTAATTGGTGGAAGATATATGGTCAAAATATGTTGTTTAACTCATTTTTTTATTAATTGTTGTTATTTTTTAAGTAGGCTTACACCTAGCGTAGAGCCCAGTGTGGGACTTGAACTCACAACCCTGAGATCAAGACCCGAGCTGAGATCAAGAGTCAGACACTTAACTGACTGAGCCACCCAGATGCCCCGTTTATTATTTCACATTGTTCCTGAAAACTCTTCAGTGGTTCCCCAGTGCTATAATGATTACATTCAAAACCCTTAGCATGGTATGATTTTTGCCTCAGTTTCCTCCCTGTCTCTTGGCAGGCACCTTTTCAAACTCTATCCTTCAGTCCCAACCATACTGAAGTAATTGCAATTCCACAAGTGGGTCATGAATTCTTGAAAATCGTGCATTTATGAAAAAGGGCTTGGGCCCTGAAACGGATTGGTATATAAGCCTTTGAATTTGGTCCCCAGCTCTTTCTTTCTGCTCAGGCATTCTTCACATGGGGTTTTGTCCTGCTTGTCCCTAATGTTACAGCAATGATGGATTTGCACCCACCAGCTTTTTTTTTATTCCAGACAGGAAGAAGATGGACAAAAGGCAGAACACATGCCAGGTAAGTTGACCTCTTTTAAAAGAGCTTTTATAGACATGCCACCCAGCAATCTTGTTTATATCCCATTGGCCAGACTGTGCTGCATGGAAGTTTAGCAAATACAGTTTTCTGGCTGAGCACACTAGTGCCCAAACCAAAAAAAGGGCTTTATTAATAAGAAAAAAAGGGGAAATGGCTTTTGAGTAGACAACCACAAAGGGAATAGGAAAATTGGAGGGAAACATATAAAGGTAAGAATCACTGAAGGAGAAGCAGGATTGGGGAAGGAAATGTTTGGTTTGGATATATCAGTTTCTAGATACCACTGGGAAATCCAGATGGAAATGTCACCAAAAAAATTGGAAAAGAATGAAAAATTGTTTTGGTTCAGTAACAGCGTTGTAATGTGTTCTGATGTCATTGGTTAAAAGGAGGTGATGACCATAAAGCTGAGCAGGAAAATATTCAGTTTTGCCAACAAAAAGGCTTGTCCCAATTTTTAACAGGAAATAGTAGTAAAAAGATAAAAAAAGTCGGCATCCATTCAGTCTATTCCAAATCTGAAGTTCCAACCTCTGCTACTGTTTTTTTTCTTTTTTTTAAAGATTTTATTGATTTATTTGTCAGGAGAAGGAGAGAGAGCACAAGCTGGGGGAGTGGGTGAGGGAGAAGCAGGCTCCCCGCCGAGTAGGGAGCCCCATGCGGGACTCGATTCCAGGACCCCTGGGATCATGACCTGGGCCGAAGGCAGACGCTTAATGACTGAGCCACCCAGACATCCCTCTGCTGTCTTTAATAAAAACTTTTACAGGGGCGCCTAGGTGGTACAGTCGGTTGAACATCAGACTCTTGGTTTCGGCTTGGGTCATGAGATGGACCCCCTCATCTCCACGCTCAGCGGGAAGTTGGCTTGGGTTTCTCTCTCCCTCTGCTCCTCCCCCCCTCAAATAAATAATCTTTTTTTTAAAATTAGAAGATAAAAACTGTTACAATCGATACATTCTGCTGAATCCAGGAAAAGTTTCTTTGCCTAGAAGTGATTAGCACATAATTAGCCATAGCAAAGACTGTGTTATTATGGAAAGATCATGATATTTTGGTTCAGAGAGCCTCAGGTTTGCCATTTGTGAGCAGAGTAGCTCAGCAGAATGGTTTTCTCATTTGGGAAGCAGGGATAAAGTACTTCTAAGATTGTAACTAGGATCAAATAGATAACCCTGAAAAATGCTCTATGTACTATAAAATGTTATGTAAAAGAAAGATATTTTTCCTTTTGTAACAATTTGCAGAGTAGGGTAACTGAGCACTCCAGATGGCAGTTGACTTTTCTCTAAGATTTGAAGTAAGTTCGCTACCTAACTGATTAAATAAATTCTGTCGGGTGAATTTCTGTTAAACCGAGGGTATTTCTAATGAAAGTGTGTGCATGCATACACGTGTGTGTGTGTGTGTGTGTGTGTGTGTTGCGAACTCGACGAATACACCAGCATGTTCATTAACTACAGAAAGCTTTTCTCATGACTGAAATCCTGAGAATGTGGGCATCCACAGCCTGGAAGAGCCCCCTGTATTTCACCGGGGGAAAAAATAATCACCAGTGGTCGGGGCATGCAAGAGAGCTACACTTGAGGAGAATCCCATAGGAAGATTTAGAAAGTAATTAAGTGCAGTTCCTGACCTAGCACATATTGTCTCTGAAATCCCTGAGTAAAGACGGGAGGCTTCACCTGTTTTTCACTGTCAATTGCCTCAAGCTATAAATAGGTCTAAGCCTCATCTCTCTCTTTTTAGCAGAGAAGGGTCGGATTACAGGTGCAAAGCAAAATCATAAAATGAGTGTCAGGGTATTTTATACTGTCAGGCAGTCATCCCCACAGCCTCCACTCTCCTCCTTTCTACTGTGCTATCCTAGAATCCTGGACCCCGGCAACAATGCCTCTGTTGAAACTTGCAGGTAGGTGTGCAAAAGTGTTTGGAGAACTCGATTCTTTTAAATGCAACCATTCCTTTAAGTATCTTGTCAGCTTTGATGATCCTTTCTTTAGGGTCAGAGTAGCTTTGATAATACTTTTCAGGAAGAAGCAAGGCATGATTTTCAAGGACTTTTTTCTTTTTAGTTTTGGAAGGGAGGTAATTTCCTAAAACTGTATCATGAGGTAGCATCTTGGATGATCCCAGTTTGGAAACTGTGGAAGATATTTAAAATCGACTCTGCTCATTTAAACAAAGCTGGTGCTGTCACCTTTCTGAGAGGGGTCCCTTACAATGTCTCTAGCTAGAGGATTAGTTGACAACCACGAGCATAGTGGAAATATTAACCCAATCACAATCCAGGTTTGTACACATAGTAATTTTTAGAATAATAATGTTGTTTTCATTACAAAAGAAATACATGTCTCCTATGAAATAAGAAAGAGAAATTACACTGAAAATAAAAGTAATAACACTCATGTAGAGAACGCAGAACATTTAGGAAAGTAGTAGTAAGAAAAAAACAGTCACCATCCCATCATCCAAAGATACTACTTTTCACATGTCAATTTATTTTCTATGCAAATTTAAAGAATTTTTAAAAGCATTGTTATGATTATTTCATGCATGTCACTTTATATCCCACCTTTTTTTGGCTTAACACTATGACTTAATCATTTACCATAGTTTTTTAAACTCTCCCTAAACATCATTTTGAATGGCTGTGTAATATTCTAATTTTCTTAACTAATCCCTTAGGTTCTTTACAGTTTGGGTAAGTATAATTATACTCTGAGAACAATATTTGCCCCTAAAGCTTTTTCCGTTTTTAAGGATGAAAATCAGTAGGATAGATTCTCAGTAATGGCTGTTTGGTAGGTGTTACTAAATTGTTTACCAGATGTGCTTTTTTGTAAGCATTGTAAGAGAGTTTCCATTTCTCTAGATCAGATTTCTTTAAAATCACATTTTACAAAGGGTACCTCTTTAAGATTAAAAACATAAATTTAAAGAGCCATATTAGAAAGGAAAAAAAAAGAAAGGGATGTGTACTGGCCCTATTCCTAGGGGTTTCGATGGCAGCAAATTGTAGGTAAATGGAAGAATGCACTATAATATCACATTCCACCACACCCCTTTCTTGTACAGTCTACACCTTTCTATTCCAAAGCACCGATTAACAGCCACTATGACTTCTGAAAGTTGTTTATATATTTTATCTTGTTTTATTTTACTTCATACAGCTAAAGAAAAACGTGAGTATTTTGGACTATTTTTCCTGCTAATTGCCAAAGGATCAATTAAAAAATGATACTATTCATTAATTCAGAAACATGAGTATTTTTCAGCAGTGTTTATTAAATGATACCATTGAAAGCCAACAAAGATTAATAATGACCAGGGGTGCCTGGGTGGCTCAGTCGGTTAAGCGTCTGCCTTCATTCAGCTCAGGTCATGATCCCGGGATCCTGGGATTGCGCCCCGTGTAGACCTCCCTCCTCAGTGGGGAGTCGGCTTCTCCCTCTGCCCCTCCCCCTGCTTGTGCGCTCTCTCTCTCAAATAAATAAATAAAATCTTTTTTAAAAAGATTAATAGTGACCATAGATATTCCATAGCATTGCAAATGAACTCATGGATTTTCTGGACTCCAAAAAACCCCCATTTTTTAAAGAGAATCTCATGGGGCGTTTATTTGATGTTTTAAAATAAACTGATGTTTGGGGCGCCTGGGTGGCTCAGTTGTTAAGCATCTGCCTTCGGCTCAGGTCATGATCCCGGGGTCCTGGGATCGAGCCCTGCATTGGGCTCCCTGCTCAGCGGGAAGCCTGCTTCTCCCTCTCCCACTCCCCCGCCTTTTGTTCCTGCTCTCACTGTCTCTCTCTGCCAAGTAAATAAAATCTTTAAAAAAATAATAAAATAAAATAAAATAAACTGATGTTCTTCTTTTGATATAGATTAGCCAAGGGGGTCTATTGAGTCTTGCCTTAGGAAATCCTTAGCTCCAAAGCGAAACATTTCATGGTAAATTTTTGTGACCAGATAAAATAAAAATCTCACTTTAGATAAAACTGTAACTCTATGTTCCCCTCCATCTCAAATGAGACTTGTCCTTTAGTTGACGGATAGTAGGTCTGCCTTGGAGTTCCTCTATGAGATGAGATACGGCAGACAAAACACCTATGACCTGTCTTTCCTACACACCCCTACAGCACTGCTGAGAAATAAGCATGCTTTTCTGGACTGTTGAGCGAAGAGGCAAGCATGATATTCCTTTTCTCAAGAATCTTGCACTTCCCATGTTAATAATAATAATTCCTAACTTCTTTATAGTATTGTGTAGTTTTTAAAGTATTTCTTGTTTAATCTTTATAACAGTTCTCTGAAGTTGACATTATTATTAGCATTCCCCTGTTATGATGATGAACACTGAGACTCCCTGTGATTATGTGGTTTGCCCAAGGCCATCCAGCCTCCACAGACACTTTTTCTCACTCCACTCCTAGTTCAGTGTTCTGGCTTCATCATTCTACTACTTGTTTCTATTCTCTTGTTGGTTCTATATGTAAATGTAGATGTCCTATCCTCAAGATATTTCCATGCAGATGCTCCATTATTGCAAACGTAATATGCTCAAAAAAGAACTCAACAATTATCTATACAGATCCAAGGGAGTCATCTGTCCTTTATTCCATAAATTCAGACTGTCACCAAATCTTATCTCATCATCTTTCGAAATACCAGTTTCACTCTTTCCTTCCCACAATCACCACTCCCTGAAATATTTTTGAAAGGCAGAGTTCTTGAATTAGGAGTCAAGTTTCAGCTGTGGTTGCGTGAAGTCAAAACAACTGGTTGATTCAGTGGAAGGAAACATCAACCATATAATTTGGGGGCATCATGTAAACCACTTCTTGACAGTAGAGTTTCTACTTTTCAACTGTCTATAGTGGCTTAGGGAGATGCAACCTTAATAAAAACAATAATGTTTAAAAATATGAAACAAATGGATATGTGCGGTCCTAGATAATGACTGCTTATTCCGGAAGAGCTGGATCTCGAGCAAGTAGGAGTTGGTTTCTGGGCATCCATTTCCCTGCTGTCCTTCCTGAGGCCTCCAGCAGCATTGCCACAGACCCACCATGACAAGCCAGTTACAGGCTCCTCCTCATCATCATCATCATAACCAGCTAGCCTATTTTTATTTGCCTTTCATGGTGCATGAAGCCTCTTCTAACTTCTGCTTGCCCTTCATCCTTGAGGCGTGTGTGCTTGCTTGTGATTCCCATGGAGGAATGATACTAATTTCTGGGGATCAGTTGGTAGCGGGGTGGGGAAGTATTCTCAGACCATCAAATGTATCTACTTAGAGTTCCATTTGGTCCTTTGTAGATTGTGGTACTTGTCAAAGAACTGCTCCAGAGCATCCAAACACGGTTTTCAGTTTCAGGCAGTGCCTGAGTTTAACGAAGCAAATAGACACATGAAGTTTGGCCAGCAGAGTAGATTTCTGTTGTTCTCCTGTGATAAGCCAGATGTTGAGAGCAGGATGACCTGACGGTGTTGGCGAAGTTATGAATCGATTGCTATCATTTCCAATGTATGCTTCAGCCTAAACTAAGTCATATCATTTATCATTTCCTTAATAGCCCAGAGTCAACCCCAAATACCACATAGCTGTCTGACCAATGCTACCAAGTTGCGTTATTCAGTCTGAACTGGTGCTTTATCTTCTGTAAAGCATTTCCACATACATTACCATGACAGCTTATGAGTGAAGTCTTGTAGGTATTAGTCTTACCACTTTACAGATAAGGAAACTAAGACAGAGGAAGGTGAAGGTGTCGGTAAGCGCAGAACAGACACTTGAGCACGTTACACTTCCTTAGGTTAAATCTGAAAATGTGGCATTTTGGAGACCTGTATAGATACTGATGGGGCAGTATGCATGCAGTTTGCTCTGTCATCATATGAAGAATGTTCCATCTTCTCCTGTTGCTTCAAATAGCTAGCTGTTTGCCAGTCTCATTATTTGCTACCTGCTCTTTTCTGGAAATACCAAGAGATTTAGAAGTGTAAGAGGTAATGATGAAACAACTGGGTACGTGGAAAATGCAATGGAACTTAACAGAAGAACAGATACTTAATGGCCATCACCACCCTCTATGATGAAATTAGTTCTCTTACACCCAGAGAGTTTTGGGGTTAGTCATTGCCAAGCAAAAAGTCACCCCTCTACCCATTCTAAGAATGGGAATATTAAAGGGTGCCTCAGTTGGAAGAGCATGCGACTCAATCTCAGGGTTTTGAGTTTGAGCCCCACATCGAGTGTAGTGATCACTTAAAACAAATAAATAAACTCAAAAAAAAAAGAAAGGTTGGGCATATTAAAGCATGTAAAAGTAAAATTGGCTTTCTAAGGGTCATTCATTATGGAGGACCACGTGTCCACAAGAATTGGGACTCCCAACACTGGGTAGTAAATTTCAATGGCTCCCTTCCCCCACATACCAGCATATCCTCAAGTTTTCAGGATTTGAAATAATGTGTGAGAGAAACACAATAGCTGCTCTATGAGGAAGAAAGACCCAAAGGACACATTTATTTCTCAGAACTACCTAGATCCCTGGTTCTCTTTAGGAAGAAAAACTCCAAGGACTGACAATCCTATTCACATCTTCACAATCATCAGAAAAACTTCACCAATCTAATGAGAAGGACTATGTTGCATGATTACTATGAAGTCAGATTTAGCCCTGCCAGAAACAGGTGATCGTAGATTAAGTGCTAGTCCTGCAAGAAGCCAATCCCATCTTTAGGACCTCCTGAGATGTGCTGTGAGAATCTGACCTGTGTCTCTGAGAATGGATTTCCAAGCTACCCACCCAGAAACCTCTGAAGAGAGAGCAGGCATTGAGCTCCAACACGTTTCTGGGACACTGGTTAGGTATAGGGGAGCCATGCCCTCAGGGCAGTCCTTAGCACTGTGCCTTACACATAGCAGGAACTCTCTGATGACCTCTGACAAAGGGCTTAAATACTAACCCATGAAAACCTCTTTTAGAAATTGATGATGCATTACGTAGCTTTGCTGAAAAAGTGTTTGCCTCTGAAGTCAAAGATGAGGGAGGCCGTCATGAGATTTCCCCCTTTGATGTGGATGAAATCTGCCCAATTTCTCATCATGAGATGCAAGCACATATATTCCACCTGGAGGCCACGTCCACCTCTATAAAAGACAGGCGGTAAGCGGTGTAAGGGGAATGTTGGGACACTGGAACATGGGAAGGGGAAATGTCAGGGCAGATAGTTCACTGTGCCAGAGCTAAAAATTCTTCCCTCTCCCCAAGACCCCCCACCCCAGCACTGTATAAGCTAGGACAAGATTACCAATGACTCAAAAGAAGAGAACAGTAGACCTCCTGTGCTCATCGCATCTTCCTTCAGTTGAAACCTCCCTATCTACCCAAGCAAGAGGACGTGAGCTCTATGCAAATTGTTCCAAACCACTGTGGGCTGATGGCTGCTGGGTACATACTCAGCTTACACACCATGGTTATAGAAACCAGAACACAAGAGCCTCATCTTCAGAGTTTGGTTCTAGCCAACTTTAGCATTGTGCTATCTGATATGAATATTGCCCTCTGGTCAGTCTGACCTTCTCCAGGCCTCAGGGATACAACCCTCCATTTCTGCCCTCCTGCCCTGGTCCTCCTTTTCATTTTATGTCTTTAAGGAAAGAACAACAATCCACCTTCTTGGGCATGCCCCATAGGACCTAATGTAAGTCTTGGGTCAAAGCAGAAACTCAATAAATACTCCTTGATCTGAGGAAGTAATATTGATTAAGCAACTTATAAGTTCCATACACTAAATCTCACCAAATTCTTATAAGGTGGGCATTATTACACTACTTTTTCAAGAGTTTAAGCTCAAGGGTTTAAGAACAAGCACAAAAAGACACAGGTAGTAACTGACGTAGCCTGTGCTTATTGTGGTACCCAGACTGCCCATCTGCCTGTGAAGGACAAGGTCATGCTGAAAGCCTTCTAGCATGTTCCCAAAGGCCCACTGTTCCAAGGGCTACCAGGAAGAAGGGAATACAGTCATGTGATACCTCTTTCCATATGGTTGGATCCTGTTTCTGACACCCTTCTGTCATTTTAATGTTCACCTTTTGTCCTCAAAATGAAATTGGACAGTGAAACCTCAATCTATCACAATGAGACTCCCAATGAAGCCAAAGTTAACTCCTTTTATTTTTTCATTTCAAACCCAGAAAAAAACGTTACCATGGACGGAAGACCATTAACTTGTCCATTCCCCAAAGTGAAACATCTTCCACCAAACTGTCCCACATCAACGAATACATTTCTTCAACTCCAACCTACCAGACTGTGCCTGACTTCCAAAGAGTGCAGATCACTGGAGATTATGCCTCTGGGGTGAGTCCCTCCTTGCCCCTCAGATGCAGCTGCTGGGAAGACACAGCTTGATTGTTTCAGCTTCCTTGCCTTTGTCCCCTTCCCACTGAGGAAGGTGTTAGTTAAGCCATGCTTTGTTATACTTCCTTATTGCATCTCAGTACCAATATGCTAGACCTTCTATTTCTGTTTTGCTTTATCATCCCACATAATTTATCCTCCTTTTATCTCATTTGCTTGCACATGGAGAATATGTGGTAGAATGCAATGTGTGTTACGGAATACACTAGACAAATTTGGGCACAGGAGACGACGAGAACAGCTAGTGGGCTAGTCTCACTGAGGCTATCACAAAGTTGGACAGGGAGCCTCGGGAGGCACAGGGGGCTTTTGGGAAAAGATGGGTCCAGGGCAGCCCTAGACTAGAGAGAAGGGCTGCAGATAGCATAAACCAATCAAAGAAAACAGATGGGAGGAAAGAGAGGGAGATGAGAAGAGTGGAGAGCCCAGAGAAAAAAGGAAGATGAGAGGCTAGAAAATTCTAATGGGGCTATTGTTTTTGTTTGACCAACGGTCATCTCCGATTTCATTACAGATGCTTACACAGTAGGTTATTGCCTGGAATAGACTCTAGTTATGCCACAGGGATAGTAAACTCATGTCACAAACAACTTGACCTGCCTGTCCTATCCAGAACAGTTGGGGACCTAATAAATCTCTGCCACGTGGACTTGCAGAATCAGCATCGTATGGGTGAAACTGATGGTTAGCTATCAGTCTATGCTCCAAATATAGTTTTAATGACCCATCCTAAGCCCCCTTCTCATGTAACTGACCCCCTTAGGGTCAGTTCCAAGATACTTAAAAGTGACAGAGCAAGGAAACAAACACGACTCTGGTTTGTTCACTTTCTGTACGATAACATGGGTCCTCTGCAAATGGCAGGCGTTTTAGATAGTAAATAACTGAAGGCACATGTTTAATAGAGAGAGGGAAAACAAAGATTGGAGACCTCTGGAGTTAAAAAAAGAAAGCCATAAAAATTAGGAGACAAACTTGATACCTCTGTACTTGGTAGGAATAAAAATAAAAAGAAGGAAGATGGGAGGGAGGACAAGGTTTACAGAAGTCAGGGAGTAGCTGCTTCTCCTCTGAAAGCCGGAGGGCACCTGAAACCATGGCCTGGAGTCTTTGAAGAACCAGGTGCATTGCAGTACCTGTTGGCTGGATGTGGCTGAGCTGATGAGCAACACCCTACTGGGTTGTAGTCTATGCCCCATCGGTCTTCATCCTTGTAATTGAACAGAGAGGTAGGGGGATGAGGACTAAATTTCCAAGGCCATTAATCCCTGATAATCAATTGATTTCATTTAATCAGGTCTTACTGAGCACCTACTCTGTGCGAGGCATTGTGTGCTAAGTGCTGAAGACACCAAGGTGAATATCTTTTCCAGCTCTTATCCTAGAGAAGATAGACTGGTGGCCCATTATGTGGCAAAGGAACAAGCATGCCACATTAGAAGCAGACCCCTAGCTCTAGCACCTGAGCCAGACTTTCTTAGCCAAGGTCAGCAGGCCTTTAAAAAGAGTTCAACTGATTGGGATCAATATCTGGACCTCAAACACTGGGAACACTTACATTGGTCCCAGAAAGTCTGTGGGCTCTGATGATGAGCATTCAGCAATTTCAAGTTATGACTCCTTGGGTGTGCCAGGCTCAGCCAGGAGTTGGGGATGGCACATGGGAGAGGCCAGTTTAGGAAATTTCCAGCAGTTCTAAGAAAATGTTACTCCAGAATCTTGCTATTTTTAGCCATGGGTAAAATTGTCTTTAAAACCATCCAAAAGAGTGGAGTGCCTGGGTGTCGAAGCTGGTTAAGCATTCGACTCTTGGTTTTGGTTCAGGTCCTGATATCAGGGTCCTGGGATCAAGCCACACATCAGCTTTGTGCTCAGTGTGGAGTCTGCTTAAAGATTCTTTCTTCTCCCTCTGCCCCTCCCCGCACACTCTCTTTCTCTCTAAAATAAATAGATAAATCTTCAAAAAAAGTTTAAAACCATCCAAAAGAATGGATGATGTTCTGATCCATCTATAGCTATAAAAGGCGGTGTGTGCATGACAGGGTTGGAGGGATGTGTGACACTTTATTCATCCCCAAATATTTCCTTCACTGACCAAAAAGTAGTTTGAATTCTCAAATTAGAGTGACATCATCTTTCAGTTGAGATACTACTGTCTTATAAGCCCATACATAAAAACTCCATATGTTACCTGGAAGGAAGAAAGTATTCTCCATGTTAGAATGGGATCTTTTAATCACATTTGCTAGATAATCACTGCTTTCTGGCAAAACCCCCAAACAAGCACCAGACTATATAAGCAAAGTCTTGAAGAACAGGTGAGTTTTAGCAGAAACGGAAGAGTTGGAAAAACTTCAGGACCTGCGCCCGGAGGAAGACCCAGGGCCCAAGTCAAGTAGGAAGCAGCCGTGTGGGCAGCAACAACCAGGAGAGTGGGCTCGTACCAAAAACAAACTTAACCCGCTTCTTGGATTTCCACAGGAGTGACTCCTGATACTTTGACATTTTCTTGGCAGGTTACAGTTGAAGACTTCGAAATGGTTTGCAAAGGTCTATACAGGGCATTGTGTATACGGGAGAGGTATATGCAGAAGTCATTTCAGAGGTTCCCTAAAACCCCTTCCAAGTACTTGCGGCACATGGAGGGTGAGGCTTGGGTAGCAAATGAGAGCTTCTACCCAGGTAAGTAATTATCTTATGCAGTGTATGAAATAGATCTTTAGGTTTAACTACTAAATATCAAATATGCCCCTAGATTACAGTAGTCCCCCCCCCCATCCATGGTTTCCATGGTTTGGCTTTCTGCGGTTTCAGTTACCCGAGGTCAGCTGAGGTCCATAAGCAGATGATCCTCCTGATTTATTGTCACGTCTGTAGTGGCCTTATGCTACGTCACAATGCCTACATCAAGCACCTCACCTCCATCTCACATAGGCATTTTATTATCTCACATGATTATAAGAAGAAGGGTGAGTATAGGGCAATAAGATATTTTGAGAGGGGCACCTGAGGGCTCAGTTGGTTAAGCATCCAACTCTTGATTTCAGCTCAGGTCATGATCTCAGGGTCATGAGATTGAGCCCCGTGTTAGGCTTTGTGCTCAGCGGGGAGTCTGCTTGAGATTCTCTCTCTCTCCTTTTCTCTCTGCCCTTCCCCCATTCATGCTCATTCTCTCTCTCTCAAAATAAACAAATAAAATCTTAAAAAAAGAGAGACCATATTCACCTAACTTTTATTACAGTAAATTGTTATAATAGTTCTATTTTATTATTAGTTGTTGTTAATCTCTTACTGTGCCTAATTTATACAAAAGCAAGTAAGTTGATAGAGCAGTAACCCATTAATAGGTATGTAGGAAAAGACATAGTATATACAGGGTTCGGTACTATCCAGTCTCAGGCTTCCACTGGGGGTCTGGGAACATGTCCCCTATGGATAAGGAGGGACTAGTGTAGAAGTAATCCAGTCTAAAAATATCGTACTCCTCTTTGACTCCATTGTCTCTCCTGCCCACGTGCACAATCATATGATTAAGTCCGTAAAATATCTCTCAAAATCTCCCCTCTTTGCTATTCCCCAAACCCTAATTTAGGCCTATATTTCTCCTTGTCCGGATTACTGCCATAGTTTCTGACCTACTCTGTTAAATTCTAATCTCACTCCCTTTCGGTTCATATTCACTTTAGTGCCAATTACTAAAACAGATCTGAACATGTCCTTCTCCTAACAAAAACCTTTCATTGCTGCTCATTACCTACAAAGTTAAGTCCAGTCTTTAGCCTGGCATTCAAGGCCTACCATCAGCTGGCCTCCTAATTACATTTTATTTATTGATTTTTGGTCTTGCACCTTCATCCTATTTATACATTTACCTTATCTACTCCACCTCTGTTCTGGTGGGAAGTATTTCCTGTCCTCCATTTGGTTCAGCCCTTTCCTGCCCCTGTACTGTTGTCATTCTGTGCCCTGTGCCTGAACAGGGGAACAGTTCACTTTTTCTCTGTATGTCCCAATGTCCAGATCCAACCTCATCCTTCAATGTGCAGCCCAGATACTATCATTTCCTGTCTTCCTCTAACCTCTGGATAAATCTAAGCTATATGTTTTGACTTTCCATAGTACTTTATTTACATATCTCACTTTTTTACTTTCTGCCTTTTATGAAGTTGAGTACCTATTTTCAATAATCAGATTTTAATAATTTCACAGATTTCTATTGTATAACTGTATAATAATTTATTTAACCAATTCTTACTTTTAGGCATTTAGATTTCTGACTTTTAAAAATTTATTTCCAATAAGGCTACAATAAATGGCTTTATATAAAAATCTTTGTGTAGTTGCTTTACATCTTTCAGAATATACTTCTAGGATTGAAATTTCAAAGGAGGCAAATATTAAAGTGTTTCTGAACTTCAGATTGTTATATCATTAAAGATTTCCAGTTCTGCCACTTCTTCTTTATAATTCCTTTTAATATTAAAATCATATTAAATATGTATCCAGTTTGGTAATGCATCAAATCAGTTTACCTATTTTCTATAATATCGACATTTAGGATATCTGTTTTGCCTTTGTTTCTTCTAAATTATGCTTTGCCTCTCTAGGATGTTTAAGTATAAAGATTCGAAAATTAAGATTTGACACAGCAACATATTGTTTCACGTCTCTCATGTTCCTTAGCTCCCAGTTTTGAATAGAAAATGCGTGAGTTTTTCTTTCTATATTATTTTCCCCACACTGGCCATTAGTCATCACTTACAAACTGAAGACTTCCTGCTGCCTTGGGCACATACTTGTTGAAAGTAAAAGGCTAAGCGCGTTACAGGCCGTGACAGCACGGAATTTGTTCTTGGCTTTCTTAGGTTGAAATTGTTAGCACTGGAAAGAAGGGGACATTTACCCACAAAATCCCTCCTCAATTCCTTTGGCAGACGTAAAATCGTAGGTGCTTTAAAAGGTGGGTCATATAGTATAACAAGAACTATAATTCTTATAGTAAGAATTTATTTTATATTTCCATTTATATTAAATCCAATCTAGGTGGAGCACAAAGGCTCTTTAGGGCAGTGAGACTATTCTGCCTGATACTATAATGGTGGATACGCATCATTATACATTTGTCAAAACCCATAGAATGTACAACCCTGAAAGTGAACTCTAAGGTGAACTATGGACTTTGGGTGGTTATGACCTGCCAGTGTATGTTCATCCATTTTAACAAACGTACCACTCTGGTGGAGGGTGTGGATAGTGGAGAAGGCAGTGCCTGTGTGGGGGTAGGAGTATATGGGAATTGTGGACTTGGTGCTCAATTTTGCTATGAACCTAAAACTGCTCTAAGATATAAAGTCTATTAAAAAATAACTGCTCTAAATTAAGACTTATAGAGAAGGTTGGTTTTATTAAGGAAAAGATCCAAATTCTACTTTTTGACTGTAGTTTGACTTTTATCTCTATGCAATTATCTCATAAGCTAATAAAATGTTCTAAACAGAAAGCCTTTGATAACCTACTGTAGTAGATGAAATTATTTGTTAAGTACTACATCAATTATGTGAACAGTACTTCTAAAGAGCTGGAAAATCATTCTTACGCTAGAAACAATTTTACAGTTATTTTACACTACTAATTTAGTCACCTTTGGAAAATAATATAAAAATAAACTTTAGCTTAGCCCTGGATAATTATAACCTATGACGTACAGGATTCCAGACGAATGAGATCTTACAGCATTTCATATTTTGGTTATTTTTATGCGGCCATTTATCTTACTTCTTGACCTATTACTCTGTGTTTTATTGAAAAAGTCTTTACCCCTCCTATGAAGAAAGGAGAAGACCCCTTCCGAACTGATGACCTCCCGGAAAACCTCGGTTATCATCTCAAAATGAAGGACGGTATAGTTTACGTCTATCCTAATGAGGCAGCAGCCAGTAAAGATGAGCCCAAGCCACTCCCTTATCTAAATATGGACACCTTCTTAGATGATATGAATTTTTTACTTGCTTTAATTGCCCAAGGACCTGTGTAAGTGTTTAATGATGGCTGACCTATTACTACTCCCACCACTACTTCTCCCGCCACCCCCACTACTACTGCCACCTCCACCCCAACTACTATCCCCACCCCCACTACTACCGCCACCACCCACGAATACTACCGCCACCACCACTATGACCGCCACCCCCACTACTACTGCCACCCCCACCACTACTACCACCACCCCCAATACTGCCACCACCCCCAATACTACCGCCACCACCCCCAATACTACCACCATCACCACTACTACCAACACCCCCACTACAACTGCCACCCCCTCTGCTACCAACACCCTCACTACTACCACCACCACCACCACTACTACCACCCCCAGTACTACCACCACCACCCCAATACTACCCCCACCCCCAATACTACCACCACCACCCCCAATACTACCACCCCCCAATACCACCCCCTCTACTACCGCCACCCCCACTACCACCACCACCAACCCCAATACTACCGCCACCACCACCACTACTACTGCCACCACCCAAAGTTACACAGCTGGCTGAGCCAGGATTCAAGCCGGAATCTGCCATCTCCAAAGCCAGGGCCCTTAGCCTTAAGCAACATCGTCTTACCTGGGTTTTATTATTATTATTATCATTATTATTATTTAAGTAATCCCTACACCCAATGTGGGGCTCTAACTCACAGCCCGGAGATTAAGAGTCACATGCTCTTCCAACTGAGCCAGCCAGGTGCCCCTCTCCCCTGGCTTTTAAATGCCTTCCCAAATCCTCCTTCATTACTCTGTTCAACTTTGATAAAAAGATTGAGCTCCAGGAGCCCAACACTTTTCAAGTGAGATTAACTGCAAACTGAAATGTTTGTTCCAGTAATTGTAATAAGGGTCCTGATGGTTTTGAAATCGTGTCTATTTTCCTTAAGTGTCTGAATGTTTCAGAATTATGTGCTTTAATTTTTCACAGTAAGACCTATACCCACCGGCGCCTGAAGTTCCTCTCCTCCAAGTTCCAGGTGCATGAGATGCTCAATGAGATGGATGAGTTAAAGGAGCTGAAGAACAACCCCCACCGAGATTTTTATAACTGCAGGAAGGTAAACATTGTCACTGCTCAGAGGTCACTGCTGGGCAAAAACATTAACCCAATTAGTTCTTGAGTGGGACAAGAAAGATACTGTTTCTCAGATTACTGTAAGATTCCTGCAGGTTCAGTGGATTTAGTGAACATAGATGAATTATTCTAAAAGGTTAAAATGCCATTTCTATTGTTTTCCACACAGAAAGGTTTACCACGTTCTTGCCACACAAAAAGTTATGATGATCGTGAACAATAAAAACAACAAAAACTGCTATTTGAGGATTTGGAAGATCTTTATTCTAGTCCTTTTTCTTCTACTTCCTGACTCTAAGATTTTGGGGGAAGTGATTAAATATTTCTGAGTTTCAGTTTCCTCATTTGTAAAATTGGGAAATACATCTGCTCAGTCTAGCTCACAAGAGGACTATGAGTATCAAATGCACTAAGGACTATGGAAAGCTAATCAACTTAGAAACACTTCCAAGATGTGTTCTGACCATTTAAGTGATTGCAAGAAGTGGGGATAGATAATATACGAGCAGATATTTGGGACCAAATCCTGCCTCAGCCACCTGTATAACCATGGCTAAATTAATCTATCAAATTTCTAGCTTATAAAATAGTAATCATAAAAATACCCAACTCATAAATGCCATCACTGGGCCATGGCTTCATGATTTCCATCCTTCCTCCCTTCGGGGCGAAAGCTGTGGTAGCTACTTCATTTCGGGGGTGGAGAATGGTCCCCAAGAATTTTGTGTTGATCAAATGTAGGTAGTAAATTGGATGTACAGTTATCCAAGAGAAATGGGCATTATTATTACATCCACCTAACCTGTCACATTCTTGCAAGGGTACAAAGAGGTGCTATGGGTTCTTTTCTGCTGGGCCACGTTTACCAGCTGTCAAGTCATACCCCTCTATTTATTCCTTTCTCCTGCCTCAGTGGGGTGTGCAGGCACCCTCTAACAGCAGCATGACTAAGGCTGATTGTTGGTTTTCTTTCTCTGAATGTACACACAGGTGGACACCCACATCCATGCAGCTGCTTGCATGAACCAGAAACATCTGCTGCGCTTTATTAAGAAATCTTACCATATTGATGCTGACAGAGTGGTCCATAGCACTAAGGAGAAAAATCTGACCCTAAAGGAACTTTTTGCCAAATTAAAAATGCATCCCTACGACCTGACTGTTGATTCTCTGGATGTTCATGCTGTAGGTTGAAAAAGATTATGTCAGTCTCATGCTCATACTGAGAACCCCACAGGCCTTTCTCCTACAAACTCCCCCGTTCTCAGAGCCCTTTTAACCATGTTGGCTGACCATGCTGGCTGAAAGTACCCACAGATAATTTTGAGGTTCACTCATTGTCACCTGTCCCAGATTCCATTCTTGGAGCCCGACCCCTCCTCCTGTTCCCAGGCCCCTGGTCCTGGTGGCCATTCCCTAGCTCTCTATGTCCCATATGTCCCATTATACATATGTCCTGTGTATAATGATACACTTGTGCTCCTGTTGCCTAATTCAGGGACGCCAGACCTTCCAGCGTTTTGATAAGTTCAATGACAAATACAATCCCGTAGGAGCAAGTGAACTACGAGACCTCTACCTAAAGACAGACAATTATATTGATGGAGAATATTTTGCCACTATCATCAAGGTGAGGAGGAACCAAGCATATCTATGGTACCTGGCCTGGTTCTTGAGGAGGGAGAGGATGAGGGGGAGGAAGGGGAGGAAGGAGAGAAGGAGGAGGAAGCAAGGACGAAGGGAGGGAAAGGAAGGAGAAGAAGGAAGCAGGAAGTGTGCTCGCCCTGGGGCCAAGCACCACAGACATGAATGTAAGAATTTCTTTGGAAATGTCCACTCAAATGATTTTAAAAGACTTCTATTCCCAGGCTAGAGAAGCTGAGGGTGTGGCTTTGGGACTGACTAAGGACTCTTTTCGGGCTCTGGGAATTGCAAGCCTGGAAAGAGGTGGAATCAGAATCCACTCTCATCTTCGTGGCCTGAGCGCTAGGACACACAGGAATGACATGGTGGACTTGGGACATGTGTGTTCTCGAAAGTAGGAGGTATAAGAAAAACTGAATGTCTTTTTCAGGTGCTTGGATAGGATAGCTCATCATCCCTTGTCTGACTTTTTCACTCTCTAGACTCCTTTATGTCTTATCCGCCTCTTACTGATTAGATTCCCCTCATCTTTCAATTTTCTTAGATCTTTTTTTAAGATTTTATTTATCTATTAGAGAGAGAGAACACCCACCCGAGAGAGAGAGAGAGAGAGAGCAGGAACAGGGGCAGAGGGAGAGGGAGAAGCAGGCTCCCCACTGAGCAGGGATCCCGACACGGGCAGGACTCGATCCCAGGACCCTGAGATCATGGCCTGAGCCAAAGGCAGACACTTAACAGACTGAGCCACCCAGGGGCCCCTCAATTTCCTTAGATCTTAACCTGAAATAGTTTCCCTCTGGCCTCCTTTCACACATGCTCTGTTCTTAGTACCTACCTCCACTCCCTAGACCCCACAGGTTTAGACCCCTGAGGGACTTGTGGGAATTCCTGCCTTTGGATTCCTCTCTTGGCTTTGCAGGAAGTAGGCGCAGACCTGGTGGAGGCCAAGTACCAGCACGCCGAGCCCCGCCTGTCAATCTACGGCCGCAGCCCTGATGAGTGGAGCAAACTGTCCAGCTGGTTTGTCCGTAACCGCATCTACTGCCCCAACATGACCTGGATGATCCAGGTCCCCAGGATCTAGTACGTACCTCCCCATCAGAGACCCTAAAGCCTGGCTTCATCCCACCTGTCAGACCTTCTCCACACGAACGAGGAATATGCAGTCACAATAAGCTTTGTTATAGTGGCACTCAGAATCGGGTCCTGGGGGCCTGGTTTTGTCCACTCCAAGTTCAGCACTCTTGACCAGAGACAGGAGTTAAGAAGATCATTTCAGTTCAGTTCTCCAACCAGGTTTTTTGGCTTTGTTTTTTTATTTTTTATTTATTTATTTTTAAATTTTTATTATTATGTTAATCACATACATTACATCATTAGTTTTTGATGTAGTGTTCCATGATTCATTGTGCATAACACCCAGTGCTCCATTTATTTATTTTTAAAGATTTTATTTATTCATTTGAGACACAGATACAGAGAAGAGAGAGAGAGCATGAGCAGGGAGAGAGGCAGAGGGAGAGGGAGAAGCAGGCTCCTTGCTGAGCCAGAAGCCCGATGTGGGGCTCGATCCCAGGACTCTGGGATCGTGACCTGAGCCGAAGGCAGACGCTTAACCATTTGAGCCACCCAGGTGCCCCTGGTTTTGTTTTTTTTAAGACACAGGACTTCATGCAGATCACAAAACAACTCACTGAGAATATTTAAAACTTAGCTAGGATAAGAACCATGTATACTTTATTCTATTTTTTCTTTCTCTTGGTCTTCCTCTCTGTACCCAGTTCATTCTTTCCCATTCTTATATGTACTGGGACGTAGCTTTCTTGTATCAGAACCTCTAATACCATCTGCTGATTGTCTCATCCACAGGTGCTCCAGTTCTCCATAATCATTGAGTATTTATCAAAGGTATTACTGCCTGCTAATTACTCATTGCCCTCAGGGATGCTCAGTATCATTGATCTTTTATTGAACTTAAGTGTTTATATATTTTCTGGCCACCTGCCCCTGTGTTCTGTGTGCTCCGGCAATGCAGGAGTTTTTTTTCCTGTCTCTTTAGCCAAAAAAGTAGCTTTTTTGACTGGGGTAGAACTTCCTGTATCATATCCTTAGAGCAGAGAGACAGTAGCTGTGGTAGTTAGGAGCATGGACTCTGGACCTAGACTGGCAATACTTGAATCCTGGTTCTATTACTTATTAGCTGTGTGACGTTGGGCAAGTTTCATGAGCTCTCTGTGCTTTTGTTTCCTCATCTTTAAAATGGGAGCACCTGACTGGCTCAATCAGTAAAGCATGCGCCTCTTGATCTCTGGATGGTGAGTTCAAGTCCCACTTTGGGCATTGAGCTTGCTTAAAAAGATTTTTTTTAAAATAGGGTCATAATGGTACCTAACATATTGAGTTGTTATGAGGATTAAATTCACTAATATTTCTGGCCACTTAAAAGAGTGAATGGCATATACCGAGTGCTATATGAGAGTTCGTTAGATTGTCTCTGGCTACAGCATATCAGAAGAGTTCTTTTTTTTTTTTTAAAGATTTTATTTACTTATTTGTCAGAGGGAGAGAGAGAGAGTGGCAGGCAGAGGGAGAAGCAGGTTCCCCGATAAGCAGGGAGCCCGATGAGGGGCTCGATCCCAGGACCCTGGGGTCATGACCTAAGCTGAAGACAGACGCTTAACCGACTGACCACCTAGGCATCCCCAGAAGTGTTCTTAATAACTATTTCATGCTCACCATCTTATACCCACAAATAAATCACTGAATCTTTTGTGACATAGTTCCTATACTCTTCATCTTCTATTTGCACTTAGCTGTGAAGGTTAATATTTTTGCCACAGAGCGTTTGTAGAAGAGATGGGGACAACTGGTTCAGCAAGAAATTTGTATTCTAGGCCCATTCTAAACTGAATCCCTCTTTATGGTAACCAAAAAGAATGTACTTAGAATGGACACAATCTTTTCCTGAACAAGGCATTTGGCCCTCTGATTCTCTCATACAGGGGCTATCAATCCTAAAAATATTTTCCTCCTGAATTCTCTTTATTCTTGCCTCTAGTGATGTGTTTCGATCTAAGAATTTCCTTCCACACTTCGGAAAGATGCTGGAGAATGTTTTCATGCCAGTGTTTGAGGCCACCATCAACCCCCAGGCTCACCCAGACCTCAGTGTCTTCCTCAAGCATGTAAGCATGACCCGTTAGGCCTTCCTGTCGCTATGCATGAACCAGGACTCCCACATAGCGTGATTCATCTTTGTTGCTTCTCTCTGACGTTTGGTCCTTGCCTTTGGGAGCTGAAAGTTTGTCGGAGGACCGGGATCCCGCAGTTAGACTGACCCCATTGCACGGCTCCCTGTTCCGGACAGATTACTGGCTTCGACAGTGTGGATGATGAGTCCAAACACAGCGGACACATGTTCTCCTCCAAGAGCCCCAAGCCCGAGGAGTGGACAATGGAAAAGAATCCATCTTACACCTACTATGCCTACTACATGTACGCAAACATTGCGGTGCTCAACAGCCTGAGAAAGTAAGTAGACGAGTACTAGAGCTAGAAGGAGAGGATTCTTTTTTTTTTTTTTTTTACGATTTTAGTTATTTATCTGAGAGAGAGAGAGTACGAGAGCAGAGTAAGGGGCAGAGGGAGAAGCAAACTCTCCAACAAGCGGGGAACCCGATGCGGGGCTCCATCCCAGGACCCTGGGATCATGACCAGAGCCAAAGGCAGATGCTTAACTGAGCCACCCAGGCGCCCCAGGAGAAGGAGAAGATTCTATTTGACACACCTCTGCTCAGACATGGGCGCCCTGGGTGGTCATCCCACTGCACTGCTGGGGTGCTTCTGACTGGCCCCAATCAGACCCTCTTTCCCTTGTCTTTTTGTTTGGTTTCTTTATTTAGTAGCAGGAATGGACATTTTGGAGGCTTCCGTAACTTTCACAGTTCCTGAAATTCCACAGTTTAGGAATTGATACTAATCACTGTGCAATGTATTATAAAACTCCACGTTACCCTTCTTGATATACATGGGTAAGGAATAGAGGAATATTATGACAGGGTTTTCTGGAAACATTTCCCCTCAAAAGCGTGAGCAGAAGAAATGAGAATATGGTGATATTGGTAAATTTCCTGTTGAAACTGAAGGTAATCAGATCTTGACTTTTCCTCCATACCCTCATATCCTTTGCTGCCTCTTTTTTTTCAGAAGTCTGGGTTCAGGAAGAATTAAGATTATGATTTGGAATTGCCAGTCTTACTGAATCCTTTAGATGCCTCCACTCCCTTACAGAGTGTTAATTTTTTTTTCTACCTGATTTTCTTGTAAATCACTCCATGCCCAGAATTGCTGCCAGGTCCTAGTCAGCCACCTGTGATTATACGGCAATTCCCTTTCCCTAGGGAACAAGGCATGAATACATTCCTGTTCCGACCTCACTGTGGGGAAGCTGGGGCTCTCACCCACCTCATGACCGCGTTCATGACAGCAGATAATATCTCTCACGGCCTGAATTTAAAAAAGGTAAGTTGGAGGTTCTCTTTCGAGTATTTTTTATATTGGAGCTAGAGGAGTAATTTTTTTTCCTTACCATTTTGTCACAAGGCATTATCAACACTGGCATCAAATGAAAGCAGAGCAAAAAAGATTTTTGAGGTTATGATGTGCAGTTCATTTTACAGAGGCCAGAGAAGTCGAAGGAGCCGCTCAAGATTATCTAGCCAGTTAGTGGCAGGGATGAATGAATGCAGGTCTTCAGGCTTCCATCTTAGAATTCTGACAAGGGATAATTCAGAGGCGCTTGGCTTACCTTAAACTGGTTTTCACCAGATTTCTTGTTATAGCATGTTTTCAAACGCCTCTTGTGAGAGTCAGAACTTTCTCGTAGAGAGAAAAAAAAAAAACCAACTGTTTCAGGGTGAAGTCTCTTCTCTGAGACAGACCATCTAACTTAGGCAATTAAAACTCAAACATTTGGTTTGACTCAATGCTTCTGAAAAGTGATGATTCCAAATAAATTTATTCTAAATATTTACATTTAAACACTATATTCTTCTTTACTAAGGGATTTAAAGAACACACGATCATCTTGTTGAAAGCTAAAACTTGAAGTAGATCATGGGATTTTAACATTTCTAGTTTGTAGCCCTTTTTCAACACCCTTAAATATTGTTTTTCACTTTTTCTTTTCAGAGTCCTGTGTTACAGTACTTGTTTTTCTTAGCCCAGATTCCCATCGCTATGTCGCCATTAAGTAACAACAGCTTATTTCTAGAATATGCCAAAAATCCTTTTCTAGATTTCCTCCAAAAGGGACTAATGATCTCACTGTCGACAGATGACCCAATGCAATTCCACTTCACCAAGGTATGTATATGGAATCTTGAGTGATACAAGCATATTTGGCGGAACGGTTGTTGACCATCCAGAATTTTATTTATTTATTTATTTATTTATTTATTTATTTATTTATTTATTTGAGAGAGACTGAGCCAGCGAGAGAGAGAGAGAACATGAGCAGGGAGAAGAGCAGAGGGAGAGGGAGTAGTTGAGGAAGAGGGAGAAGCAGACTTCCCGCTGAGCAGGGAGCCCCCCCATGGGGCTCCATCCTGGGACTCCGGGATCCTGAGCTGAGCCAAAGGCAGACACTTAACCAACTGAGCCACCCAGGTGCCCCTGTTGCCCAACTAGAATTTTAAAGTCAAATCAAGGGATTTCACTGTACTTTTTCTGCTGGGTGCATGTTATTATTTTTTTTAATACACTCTTTTTTTTTCTTCTTTCTTTTTTGCCTCATTTAAATAAATAATTCAAGGAGCCCCTAATGGAAGAATATGCAATTGCTGCACAAGTGTTCAAGCTGAGTACCTGTGATATGTGTGAAGTGGCAAGAAACAGTGTTCTGCAGTGTGGAATTTCTCATGAGGTAGACCTGTGCTTGACTGCTTGCGCTTCTGCATATAGGATCTGGTAACTGAGTACTGAAAAGATTGTTGGGGAAACACATGTAGAAAAATTTTCCCACAAATCATATGCCGTTACTGTGGACAGGGACTAGAAAGAAGCCTTCTTCCTCTCTGGCTATGCCGTTGGCAAGGCAAATAATACACACTTGACTTCTCAGCAGACCGTGAACATTGAGGCACTGGATGAGTGCTTTTAATGGTTTATTTTTTCCTTTTGTCAGTAAGATAAGGAAGGAATATTTGTGGAAGATGTAATTATAGTTTATATCAGGATAAAAAGACAACAATCATTCTGCTTCCTTTTCTCTTACAGGAGAAAGCAAGGTTTCTGGGCAACAATTACCTTGAAGATGGCCCTATTGGAAATGATATCCGGAAGACAAATGTTGCCCAAATCCGCATGGCCTATCGCTATGAAACCTGGTGTTATGAACTTAATTTAATTGCTGAAGGCCTTAAATCAGGAGACTAAATTAAATAAACCAAATAATAATATGGGTGAGATTTTCATTGGAGAATATGAATAATAATAGTTACCAGTTATTGAATCTCTACTATAAGCCAATGATTATACTAGATATTATTCCACTGACATTATTTCACTTGATCATTTTCACTTTATGAAGTAGATAATATTACCTTCATTTGGGGGATGATGAGTAAACTGAAGTTAGTGAAGTTAATAACCTGCACAAGGACGCATCTGTTGAGCGGTAGCAATGGGGACAAAGGCTTGTCTGACTCGAGTCTCCGTGACTTTCAGGCAAAACATTTGCTCACATTTGCTCATATTTTTGCCCCACCTTAAGAACTATTAATAACTAATAATAACTTGAGGCAGGGCAAAAATTTGAGCAAATGACTTGTGATTGGGAGAATGTAGGCTTTTGGTTTATAGAATGAAATTTGCTGGAGGCACTTGGACCACTGGAACATCCTTTTGACAGGATACAACAGAAGACCGGCGTTCTTAGACAAAAACAGATGTTGCCCAATATAGAAAAATCCATACTTATGAGCTATTACACTTAGGGAGAATTTATCTTGCGAAAGGATTCTTAGTTGTAAGGACATACTTGGCAATAAAGTTACAGTCAGGTGTCCTTGTACATTTTAAATAACTTTACTTACCAAAATAAGATACACATGTAACTTTTTAGAAACCTGCCTGTTACTCAAGGCCTGCCAGGTAGAATTCCAATTAGCTAGACCATACTTCTACACATACAACTGTGTTGCCATCTAGTGGCTGGGCTGATAGTTCATTTAATTTATTAAACAATTACTGATCAAACAGCCCAAGTATCGTGTGCTATTTAGACAGCAAAGGTATAAAGAATAAGATTTCATTCCTACTCTCAAGTTGTTCACAGTGTGAAATACTAAGATGGGTGCATACAAATGTGAAAAAGAACATTTTGTGAAACATCTCAGAAAGTAATGACTTTTCAAATGGAAAAAATAAATTAAAGGCAAATTCCTGCATGTTTCCACATTCTATACAGGTAGCCGTAAGCATGGGTGTGATCCTGACAGCATGTTTATACTAGCCCCAGTGTAAGAATCCTCTCCCTGGTTTCTGAAGTTGAACTTCTGTTTGCTGAGTATTTGTAAGTCCCTTGGAGAACCTGATTTTATTTTACCTTGTCCTCGATGTCATCAAAATAATACAGATTGCTAAATTAAACTTTCTATTCTCAGACTTAAAAAGCATTAACTACCATTAGTTATATCTCCATCTTACCCATGAGAGGGCAGTAGAATACATACATGTTAATTCCTTTATTACAGCCATAGAACCCATGCCAGATTTGGTTTCATATTTGGGACTTGGAATTCAGTCGGCCTCATTTTGCCAAATAATCTTCCTGAATGCAAAGTTTGGACTTCGACATCAATTTGCATTTTGAAATAAGTTTTAAAATCATACTATTCTAGCTTAAAATTTCATCTTAGACAACTATTTGGGAAATTTTCTCAATATAGAAAGATTTGGGGGAGGGTGAAGGGGGTAACCCATGAAGATCACTGTTCAAAATTTAGGCAAACAATATTGACATTTATTTCCTCATCAAGACACGATTTTTAAAATGTCTTGTCATTACTTTTTTTTTCCACCGTAGAAGGTAATTCCTGTTTGATTGTCCATAGCTCATGGTTTCACAACGGTGTGGGATATGCAGCTTTTACTGCTTTGGCTAAATTGGCTTGTGACAGTCGTCTGTGATGTGTAACCAAACACCTCTCTCTCTGGCAGTCTTCTATTTTGGTACCTCTCTGTGAACAGTTGTGGGAAGATTTTGGTCATCAGACCCAAGAGGCTCTGGTGGGGTGGGGTGGGGTGGGGTGGGGTGGAATGGGGCGGGAAGGGGTGGGGTGGGGTGGGGTGGGGTGGTTAGCCAGTGCCTGGGAAACAGGCTCAACTCATCCCGACTCGCAGCCTTAGTGAAACTGGGCTGCCGCTCGCAGTAGGCACAGCGCCATGCCCATACCCGAGTACGAGCGTGTTGCAGGCGTAGTGCTCAGGCATGTGTGTCACAACAGGGCGTGGGGGCCGACCTCAGGCACTGGGAGTATCAAAGGCACCCTGCTCTGGGACTTCAAACCTCAGGCGTTCGGAGCGTTATTTGCATCTGTCTACGTTTCAAGTTGGCACTGGACTGCAGTTGCAGTGGCAAGAGATAATTTTATGGTTTCCTTGAGTGAGGTGCCATTTGGATTCCTCGACTAAACTAGGTGGCTGTGAAGAGTCAACCTTCATGTAAAGTTCAGGTCCATTGCCGTAGGGCCAGTAGGACCGCAGGCACGGCGACTGCAATGGAGCTTTGGCTAGAGGCCTTGGCCGGCGTCCGGGCGACCAAGGTCCGGGACAAGGTTCTCGCCCAGAGGCGGACTCGAACCGGGGCGGTTCCCCTCTCGACGGTTTTCGGGCGGTGCCGGGGGCGGGCCATAGCGTGAGGAGTGGGAAGAGGAGCCAATAAGAACCGGGCATTGCCGGGCGGGGGTGGGGCCGCGGCCGGGCGGGGCGGGGCCTTCGCGGGGCCTGCGGGGGCGGGACGGAGCCAACACAGAGTAGGAGCGCGGAGTCCTGGTGCCTCCGCTGAGAGGAGGAGAGCTTCGCAGCGCCGCCGCGCAGGCGGCGTGGAAACCGAGGGCAGGTAGGCGCGGGGCGATCTGGGGCGGGCTCTGAGGCGGTGGCCTTGGTCGCTCGCGGCGGTGGATGTCACACGCTGGGCGTCGGGAGCCGGGCTGGCAGTGCGAGAGCGGGCCGGCGGAGGTGTCGGCCCCGGCCCCGAGGGACGCGCGAGTGTCGGACCCCGAGCCCCGCGACGACGGGCCTTGGGAGCCCCGCTCGTGGGCCGCGGCGGCTGTGGCGGAGCCCGGCGGGCCATGTCCCCGCCGCTCACCTCGGGGACCGGGGGCGTTCGGCGCTCGGCAGTCCCAGGGCAGTGGGAGGGAGCGCCCCGTCCCGATGGAAACGCGGGGCTGTCGCCCGCCGGGGTCGGCCGGAGAGCTTGAACGCCGACAGGCTCAGACGATGGACTTTTTTTTTTTTTTCAGACGATGGACTTTTTATTCTTGCTTTTTGTGTGTTTTGATTCTTAACAGAATCTGACAAGCGCAGCACTGAAAGTCGTCCCCTAGGATTTTGATGTTAAAATCGGACAGTGGAACATCCAAGAACTTTTGAGTAACTAGTAGAGCCGATGATGATTAGATGATGAGTCAAGGGCTGGAGTTTCAGCCAGGACCCACAGAACAGATGTGATACCTCGGTCAAATCGACTTTTCTGGGCCTCTGTTTCCTTAGCTGTAAATCTGGGATGTTCGCGCCTAGGGGTATTCTGAGGGTCAAAGGAGATGAGTGAGAGTAGTCTGTCAATGTTAGGTACTGTAGTTTGTGCACCAGCTGCAAGCTTATTCTGTAAAGCATCTGCTAAATGCCAGGCACATAGTAGGCACTCTGTAAACCTTTACCCTGAAGCTAGTGATTCACCTCCAGTGCTTTAGATCAAGTCCTAAATCTCTGTTTACTGAGTAAATAAATTGTTTAAGCTCTCTTTTTTTCCGCCCCCACAATATCACCATTGTTTGAAATATGGTCCATTTTTAACTGATCAATGAATTCTTCTAGAATAGCACACATTATCTACACATTATTTATCATGAAGTTCGGTACCAATCAAATAATCTACTTTTTTGCTTTAAGTAAATAGTTATAGTTTTAAGTTACCTGGGATTATTGCTTCAGATCAAGACTTTCATCTGCTTTTGTAAGATTTTAGTCCTTCAAAACAAAATTAATATGTAGCTGTATTTTTTTGTACAGCCTTTATTATAGACATCTGCATTCTTTTCTATGAGTATGTGAATGTATGAGGGGTCTTAGGGGGAGAATCGAAATAAAAAAGGGAATAGCAGTTTGTAACCAGCAGACTTTTACTGGGGATACTTGTAGGTGTGTTCTGAAGTAATTTCCCAGGCAGAAACCAGGAAATGTAGTAATTGTGTCTCTTGGCCTTTCATTAGGGTTTGTTTTTTTTTTTTTATGTTGACTGTGGCAATAGTTTTTTTAAAATGCAGATACAAAGGAAGAATGTTAGTTTTTTTGATGTGACAAGAGTTTTATAAACATGGAAATTGTATTTTAAATGATCTGTCTTGTATTATAGACAAGAATTTTAGACCCCTGGATACTAAGGGCAAATCAAATGGAGTAGAGGGAAAGTTCCTAGTGAATGTACTTTTTGTGTTGCTTTAAAAGCTTTAACATTTCAGCAGTTCAGTGGAAGATGGGTGTTTTGAAACTACGTAAAACATCATTTTAAATGTGTACTCCATATATAAATTTTGCTGTAATTTATAATTTGTTCATCTTGGAGGTCTGAAGCCTTATAGTCACAGTATTTATTGAGCACCTATTATATTACAAGGCACAGTTTTAGTACTTCCATTGTATTCATGTATGAGCAGAACACAATTCCTTCCTTCTGGGAGGCTAACTCTACCAAGTGGGCTAAAATAAGTAGCAAGAGAGCTGTTTTTAAAACTGATGATAACATCAGTGTCAGCATTTATTGAGACCTGTTCTGAACCAGACAGTGTTCTAAATTCTTTACATGCATTAGCTTATTTAATCCTTACAACAGCATCATGAGGGGGTGTCGTTGTTTCAGTGTCCTCATTGAGAGACATAGAGGTTGAATAACCCCCTATCAAACAGCCTAGACAGCAAAGCTAACATTCAGACCAGACAGACTCCAAAAATCCTAATCCTAACTTGTGCATTGTAGTGAGTTTCAAATTCTGTGAGTGGAATACCAGTAAAATCCAATGTATGTTTAAAAGAGAGTTCTGTAAAGAACTTCTTCAAAAAAAAAAAAAAAAAAAAGGAAAGAAAGAGACATGGAGAGAAAGACACTGGTATTGCAAGATGTGGATGGAGGTTTGCCCAAGCTACATTTTAATTATACTTTGTATATGAG